AAAAAAAAAAAAAAAAAAAAAAAAATAAACACATCATGGTAAAATTAATACCTTCTCAGCTTCGCATCGAAGCTAAAAATTAATTGGATTTTGTTTTTACATATTTTTTGATTTTTAGATTGTTACAACAAATGTTAAATGGAAGTTTGATTTTCATAAAAAGTAAATTTTATCTTAAATAATTAAGAATATTTTTAATTAGGAAAAAAGTTGCTTCTTATTTGTTAATGATCAATATGTTTAAAATGGTTTTTATATTAATTAAAATAAAAAAGTATTAATTAAAGTGTTATTATTATTTGTGTATTTTTATTGCATTATTAATGTTTCTTATTGTAGAATAAAAGAGTTCTGATTGTAAAATTAAAAAATAATGAAAACATCGATAAAATTTTGTTTATTACATTACATTTAAACTTATTTTTTTAATAAAGAAAAATATTTTTTTCAAAATGAATTAGTAACTACGATGTGAGGACGGCTGATATGAGCGTAGATGATGTGGGAGATCGTGTCAAGTGGAAGCTTAGGATAAGAGTGGCCGACCCTAAGTAGTTAGGATTAAGGCGAGGAAATAGAAGAAGAAGAATTAGTTACTATAAAAAACACCAAGAAACATTTAGGCTGACTGTTTTTTAATAAATTGTATGTTTATTATGCGGGCTGAGTTTTTACAAACTAAATGATAAGATGAGGTTAGTGGAAGAGTACAATCAGAAAATGACTAGTGATCAAAATAGCTGCACACACTTCACACCTCCAATTATAACTTTAAATTGTATAACCAAGTACATAAATGGAAAAATTGTTGTCATATATCTGAAATATAATAAACTTTGCGTTTATTTAACTTTAAACAAAATAATAAGGCTGTTTAAAACATTAAGAAAACGTATGGCATTCAAGTCAACTTTCAAAATTTAATTTTTTAAACTCATGATTAACAGCATTTATGGTAAATGTCTGGAAAATCCCGAAAAAAGAATTGACGTTAAAATTGTAAATAAATGGAAAAATATAGGGAAAAGATACGGGGCAAGTGTTTTAATATCTAAACCAAATTTCAATAGTGTAGCTATTTTTAATGATAATATGGCAGCCATCCACTTAAAAGAATTTGAAATTGTATATTATAGACCAATTTACGTTGGCTATTCAGTATTAGAAATTTCCAAATCTATTTCATATGATTTTCACTACAACTTTATGAAAAAAATGTATAAAAATAAGTGTAAGTTGTTATACACGGATACCGACTCTCTATTTTACAGAAAACAAACGGTAAATGTTTATGATTAAGTTAAAAAAAACATTGAAAAATTCGACACATCAATCTATAATCCTAACAACGTTTATGGTATGCCGCTTGTCAACAAAAAGGTCATAGGGTTATAAAAGATGAAATGGGTGGAAAAATTAAAAAAATATATATTGGCATATGCAGTAAAACGTTTTTGATGCGCTGTGATAAAAATGCGGAAAAGAAAAAATAAGAAATTG